TTAATAAAATTTAATGTGATAAAGTTTTGGGCAAGCCCATGTGAGGAGACGTGAAAGAATTCCAAATCATTGACCTTAAGTTTACACAATGACAAAATTAAAAAAAAAAAGTATTTCCGAGCCATTGACACGTCCTAAATATTATAAGCACAAAATAAAAGAAGAGGTAAAAATATAATCCCCTTCTTTTTACTTGTCAAATTTATTTTTATTAAACATATTATTGATTTCATATTTAAATAATGGAGAGGGAAAATATTTATTTCATTAAATTCCGACTTGTAATGAAAAATACAATGAACAAAATTTTAATTTTTTTAATTCTTTAATATGATTTAACCGACCCCACCCCACCCCACCCCACCCCAACAAGGTAGATGAAAAAAGTTTTCATTCACTCTATCTCCCCACTCTAAGCCGCTATGTGACTTTTTGCCACCAAAATCAAGTTGCAATTCCCACTAAACCAAATATAAATAAACCCACAAGACCAAAATAGCATACCAAATCTTCTACATTGCTCTCTTGTTTGTAGCTCCTTATCATGGGAACTTTACAAGTTGAGACTCCTCATCCCACCACCACTGCCGCCATCGCCAACCACCACGACTTGAAAGAGCGTGGATTCAGCAGTGGTGAAGACGATGACGAGTCACCTATTGAAGAAGTTCGGCTAACCGTATCCAACTCCGACGACCCTACCCTACCCGTATGGACATTCCGGATGTGGTTCTTGGGCCTATTGTCATGTGGGCTACTATCATTTCTCAATCAATTCTTCTCCTACCGGACTGAGCCACTTGTCATCACACAGATAACTGTTCAAGTTTCCACTCTACCCATTGGCCACTTCTTGGCTACAACACTGCCTACCACCAAGTTCCGGATTCCCGGGTTCGGAGCCAGATTGTTTTCTCTGAACCCGGGTCCGTTTAACTTGAAGGAGCATGTACTTATATGTATATTTGCTAATGCTGGAAGTGCTTTTGGTAATGGCTCGGCTTATGCCGTCGGAATTGTTACCATTATTAAGGCTTTTTATCGTCGGAAAATATCGTTCTTGGCCGGTTGGTTGCTTATCATCACCACTCAGGTCACTCTCTCTCTCTCACTCACTCACTCACTTTCTCTGCACACACACACCTAAAACATTTTAATTCAATCTTTTGTTGGAAGAAAACTGATTTTCTTTTCAAACTCGACCATTCCAAGATAAAAAATGCTCACCTGGAGTTGAACCATCCAGTGGACCGGATTTCTTACATCCTCAGTTCTCGACTTTTCCGGTTCAATTGGTTGGACATGTCTGAGTTTCAAAACAGTAGTTAAAACTTTACCAGGAAGCATTGGTGAGGCTGTTTTGTCACTTTCATCAAACTTAAGCTAGTTGCTTTTTGAGTTCTTTCTCAGTGTCAAATTATACAATTTCTACTAGCAGAATTGACCCTAATTTGCTGTGAAAATCAAGAAATCATTTTTGATTTTTATATATAAATTTATTGAAAATAAAGCAAATGGCATGTGGGTTGAACTTGGCAGGTGTTGGGATATGGTTGGGCAGGGCTGTTGAGAAAATACGTAGTTGAGCCTGCTCACATGTGGTGGCCCAGTACTCTTGTCCAGGTCTCACTTTTTCGGTAAGTGACTTATCTAATTTGCACCATTATACCGTATTTTGATTATGGGAGGCGGGTTCATAATTCTGCTAGGAGCCTAGGACAATCCAATAGACAGTGTTGAATCTCTATTTCATAATTCAAATAGGTTAAAAAATGATGAAATTTTACTGTTAAGAAAGGGGTTGGCAGCAGGGAAAAACGTGGGATTCTTTAAGGGTTCACATGCAAGGTTTAGCCAGCTTGCAACTTTAAAACTAGTTTTCCCACTTGCACTTTCATGCATATTCAATAATTGTTGAGATTCCTCAGTCTGCAAATCTTGTATTTCGTCTACGTTCAGGGACTAGTGGACTGCACATATAGTTGACTCGTAATGAATGTGTTCGCTTTGAGTACTAGTTGTCGATCGCTCGAAAAATGTATATTTTTTATTACACAACTTTAATTAATTTAATTTCAACAATAAAAAGAAACACACACAATAAAGATTTTAATTTTGAAAAATATAAAAACTTGGAAAATTTCGAAAGACAACGTGGTTGGAATTTATGGTTTCGTTTAACTATCGCCTAATTAATTTATCCACAAGTCAATTAATAAATTTCAATGTAATATATTCTTCTCCTTGTTGCGTGCGTTTTCTGTGTAAATATATTCTTCAGCAACATCCCTTTTCTTTCTCTTTTCTCCCTCTTTTCTATGCGTGTATGTATATTCTGTCTCCCAGCTGCCGTTTTCTACTCCAATTTCTTCTCCCATTTTTTCTCCCTTGTGCGTGTATGTATATTTAGAGATGGACAACAGGACAAAGAACGGTATATATATATGTTTCAACAGCAGCCCTTTTTTCTTCTTCCTTTCTGTCGGCAGCCTCTTTCTTCTCTCTTTTTTTCCCCTGGCAGCAGTCTTTTTCTCTCTCAGCAGCCCTTTTTTCTCTCCTTCTCTTCCTGCTGCGTATGTGTATAACTAGGTGCAAGCAACGTGTTTGCTTAGTTTATATTTAATAG